GGCGGGGGCGTGCGGGGGTGGCCCTCTGGCTGCGATGGTCAGCCCTGCCCCACAGACACGCTCCATGTTGGGGACGGGGCAGGCATTCAGTCCTTGACGGTGCTGTCCCGGCGGCAGGTAAGCGCGGCTGCGTCCAGCTGTACCCTCCCTCCCGTTGGCTCGACGCTGAACCTGGCAGAGGGCTGGGGCTGCAGCCAGAGCTGAGAGCCCTCCCCGAAGCTGGGGAGAACAAGGAGGGGTGGCAGCCCCACACTTCGGGCTGCGGGACCGGGTGTAGGCTGTGGTGTCCCAGAGTCCCTAGGGATCACGGTGGCCTCGGAGGCTCATTACCAGGACAGCACAGAAACCTTCAGCAGGTAGGACACGTTCCTGGAGGCCTGGGCTGGGGGCAGTGCCAGGACTGCCTCAGGGCCCTTGCAGGCTGGAGAAGACGGGTAGGGTGAAGCCCTTCCGTATTGGGCGCAAGGAAAGGCTATTCTGGTGAGCAGCAAACAAAGTGGCCCCAGAGGCTCACAGAAGCCAAGGGGAGCTGTAGGTGGGCGGAAACCAAGGGTGAAATCAAACCACACCAGTAGGATGGGACAGTGTCACAGGCCCCAGCAGCCTTGGGCTCATCGTCGGGGCCTGTGTCCCTGCCAGGTTCGAGGCTGGAGCCAGTGGCCAGTTCTCACACAGTCCTGTGGCCCAGTGTGTGCAGACAAAGCGGCGTTTCATGTCCTGTGGGGGGGGCGGGCGAGGCCCTGGCTCAGATGGGTTTGTACAGCAGCGTGGTGACGTACTTCTTCTTGTAGCGGTGCGTGGCGCTGAGCACCATCACGCCATCCTGCGAGAGGCACAGCGTCAGCGGGAGCGGGTGGGAGAGCAGGAGCTGGGCACCCCCAAGGCAGCCGTTGGGAAGAGGGCTCTGGCGGCTCGGGGAGCAGCCCCGGGCCCTTCCTGCTGTCCTGAGCCTCACAGCCAGTGAGATACATCCAACACCCACAACAGGGAGCCAGGGCAGAGTGAGGGAAGGGTCTGGTGTGCAACAGGAGAGCCCAGGGCTACCCAGCGCCGTCACACTGTGGGGAGGCATCTACAGGGAACTGGGGGCTGCAAGGAGACCACAACCTACATCCCTATGCATGCCACACTTCACCGGGCAGCTGAGCTGCCCTTGTGTGGGTCCTCCCATCCCTGCATCACTGTCTCTACCCCCTAGCTGCCTCACCCAGCGTCCTCCCAGGACCTGCCCTTACCTTGATGGAGAGTGCGTAGAGGTGATTGAGCATGACGTGGTTGGGTTCAGGCAGCAGTGCTGGGTCACACTAGGACAAGCAGAGTGTCACAGGGGAACAGCAGAGCCCTGACCCCCTGGCCCCAGCCATCTCAGGGAGCTGCCATCTCAGGCAATCCGAGCTGCTGGTGTCTCTGGCTGTTCTGAACAGGATCAGAGTTCAGCTAAGCACCAGGCAGAGCAAGGGGCCAAACCAGCATGGTTAATGGGAAAAGTGATGCTTTTCCCAGGAAATACCAAGGGCCAGGCCCCCAGCCAAGGGGAGACCAGATGCCCTGCGGACAGGACTTCCCTTCCAACCCCAGTGGCTCTCCATATGCCGGCAGTGTGAGGGTACCCACCGAGATATTGGTGTCCTTGTTGAGGATGACCTGGAGGAGGTGAGGCGGGAGGATGGGTGGGGATTTGAAGCGCTCCTCGGGCCGGTATACATACATCTCTTGGCCGTAAGGACCAGGTGGTGAGCTTGATAAGTCTAAAGAGAAGAGATGGGAGGAGACATGAAATGGCTAAAGCAGGACCAGCAAGCACAGAGCAGCTCCCAAGACACTAAGAAGGATGCAGCAGGGTCTTTCAGGCAGAAACATCTTCCATGAGCCATGGACACATATCCTACAGCAACAGCTCAGCCTTTTCACAGCAGAATAAGCAGCCAGGGAAGCCCTGGGCATTTCCAAGCAGGGCTGTAAGCTGGTACGTGCACTGACGCAACACAAGCACCCTGTGGGATCCACCCCAAGATCCACCCCAGCTGGGTCCCTCTCCCTGTAGCAAGCAGCTGGCTTGACCCAGAGCTGTACCCTTTGCAGCATGCCCATGTGCTCTTGGTGCTGCAGGACTGCCTGACAAGGAGGCCCCAGAAAGGGCAGAAGGGAAGTCCAGACTGAGCAGCTGCTCAGATGGGAAGTCCAGATGAGCAGCTGCTCAGCCCACGTGAGGGACCACAGTAGCTTGTGGTCACCAGAAGCTGTACTGGCCGTACCTCCCAGCCACATCTGACCTGTTTTGGAACTGCCAGCACCCAGAAGGGCTCCACCTCCCTGTAGCTCCTGCTGCTTGCTGACTTCTTTCCAGCAAAGTATCTCCTGCCCAGGCTAGGCAAGGACATGGAGCTGAGGCTGTATCTGAGATGGGGTTTGTACCAGGGACAGCAGGCTGCACACAGAGTGCCCTGGACTGAAACACAACTGAGCTACCTTGCCAGCATTACACACCGAACCAGCACTGCTGGTGTCTGCGTGGTAACCTAACCTGCCGCTGTAACACAAGCGGAGAGGGAGGTTTCTGATGTGCTAGCACTAGTACAAATTACCTTGGCGTGAAAATGAAGAGCGGCTGCTGAAAATAACCTGGATCCTGCTCTTGCCTAGCTTGTACCCCAGATCAGATGACTTACAGTTGAGCAGACAGAAAGGGGTGATGTTCCCAGCGTTCACCAGTCTGAAATGGCTGCCTCAGCTGCGCACAGGCACTGACCTTGCTCTGGGATGGTGCTAGCACAGAACAAGTTACACCGCCACAGCTGCTCCATGGAGACAAGGCCTCAGCTGTGGGCTGCTGAGGACACACTGCCAAACACTACTCTTCCCAGATGCAGGCCCACACCTCTGCTCAAGGTGGTTTGTTCACCCCCAGAGCAGCAAGTCTCAGAGCAGAGGAGGTGGAAAACAGCACATGCAAAGCTGTAATGCCACAAAAACTCACCCCGACCTGAGGTTTCTGAGCTCTCCAGGGAATCCACCTTCAAAGCATCGAACACCTCGAAGTCAGACTTTTTGACGTGAATCAGGTTGTTAATCGTCCCCATCTGGCTGGTGACCACAGGCTGGAGAGAACTGAGGTAAGAGTCTTCCTTTGTTCACCTCCAATCGAAGCACACACGATGCTTCCTAGATCCTCCCAGCCCAAGCTGTCTTTGCTGCGCCATTAACTCAGAGCACAGGTGGCTGGTGTCTAGCTCTGCTCTGTGCTTGCAGGTCTCTGCTGTTTACCCTGTTTTCATCCTCCTGTTTTCATCCTCCATCCTGCTACATGCCGATGGGTAAGTGTCCTCTCCTTCCCATGCTGCTACCGCGTGATTCAGTTTGGAGGAGAACCTGCAAGTGAGTGCGGACCCCATGGCCCATCTTCCCACTTTAGCCAATTCTGAATGGGGCTTAAGGCCTTCTGGTGTTTCCCTGCCCCTCAGTACCTCCCTGACACTCCCCCATACAGCATGTCTTAAGCCCAGAGGAACCAGGCTCTGAAAGAACTCATGGGATGGAGGTGCCCTTTTCGTTTTGGCAGATACCTTTTGCTCTTCCTGTTCCCCCTCTGCTGCAGTTACATCATGTCTAGTCCCCTGAAGAAGGTAAGATCTGCAGGGATAAAGCTTTGAGCATTACCTCAGATGGGTCATGGACCCACTGGCCATCCACAAAAAATTTGTACTGGTGCTCTCCTTCTGGGAGGTCCAGGATAGCGACAAAGTCGTTGTGGCTGTGCAGAGAGAACAGATGTGCACCAGTATTACTACGTTGATGCTCTGGACGCTGCTCTTCCATGGGGTCCCAGAAAACAGCACTATTTCATGCGTCGCCCAGCCCAGCCCTTCATTCAGGGTTAGGCTTGCTCATCGTCAGTGATCTGAGCCATGGACACAACAGGCACGAGCGTTCAGAGCACTAGCGTGGCTCAAACCCCTCAGAGTCCAGCCGCAAGGAGCACAGGAGGCAGTCCAGCTTGCAGACCTGCCCTGTGTGCCCAGGGAAAACCAGCGTGGCAGACACCCTGTGCAAGACACACTGGAGAGGATGCATGGGCAATACACCTAATCGCGCGCTAGCACTGTAGGACGGGGGCAGCAAGTGTAGCAGCTCTGTTAAGGCTGCAGTTGAGATAAACCCATTCCAGATGATTTGCTGGGATTATGCCCAGAGTCCTACACACAGTTTCCATGGAAATCACAGATGTATTGCGGAACAGCGCAAACACCATTAGGGCAGGAAGACACATGAGGGAGAAAGAAACAACCTCCACTGGCAACAGCACAACTAGGCACGGGGTAAGGCCACAGCCAAGGGAAGAGCTGACAGCTTCCAGGGGACTGCTGCATACCTGGGAAGGGCTCTGCTGGCAGGACCAGCCACCTCCACCTGCACAAGCAAAGTGGCCATCCTGTCCTGTCCCTCTGTTTCACAACTTCCCACCGCCACGCAGCACCACCCAGGGAAGAAGCTGTCTACGTATTTGTGCTCAGACCCTCCAGCTTGGGTGAACTGAGAAAAGCCAGGTGAGCAAAGGGAACAGCAACCAGCACAGAGAAGGGAAAACACTCCCTGCGATGAAGAAGAGGAGAACATAGAGTGATCTGAGGAACTGGATACCTCTTGATGAGCGGGATCTTGGTGCTCCAGTTGTTGAAAGATCCAGAGATGAAGACTTCTTTGCCTCCATCAGCCCAGCGGATGACAGTGGGACGAGCCTGTTGGGATGGTTTCACTGACTCCTCCAGATCTGGCTGCCATGACACAAACTCCTTGTCCCCAGGAATCTGAGCAAAGAAAAACAGAGCCTGACTGAGACACAGGGACAACAGGGACCACATTTACTCACCCCTGGCCTCTACCAGCCCACCCGCACATCCCAGACAAGAGCATCGCAGAGCTCCTCCACTCTCCCAGCTCTCCACAGACCCTTCATGTGGCTGGGAGCACAGCCCCACACAGCCAGCAAGCTGAAGCCCCAGCCAGGGCCCCAGAGGGCAGGACAGGCAAGACAGCAGCCAGGCCCTTACCTTGGAGTCGTGGGAGCTGAAAACACTGGGGTCATCGGTGCTGCCCACCATGATCTTGTGCGGGTGCTCCTTGGCAGGGTGGGGAGCACCGGAGCCATCTGAGCGGTGGGACTTGGAGCCATGGCGCTCCCCAGACACTCGCTCACTGGTGGTGTTCCCCATGACAGTTCAGCAGCCCCTGTGAGAAAGAGACAGCAGTGTGCTTGTGCGCAGGGGCTCTGGCAGCAAGGAGAGGAGCAAAGGCGCCGTTTCCTAATGCTCTTTGCCAGGGGAGACTGACAGCAATCCTAAAAAAGGCCCAAAGTTCATTCCCACTTCCAAGTTTGGGAGCTGAAGTGGAATTTAACAAACAAGACAGCTTGACCTAATTATAGCTATATCCTTATGAACCATCACTCTAGTTAAGCTAGTAATTGTTATACTCCAAACACGATACTAGCTACAGTGTCCCCCACACAAGCCCTCAGCAGCTGGCATAGTAGAGGTGCTGATGGGAAAAATAAAGCCAACCTTTATTGGCAAATCAATGGCTTGGCATTAACAGAGCCTCTTTCACAGTCAGGCTCTACAGACAAATCCCCTACATCCAGCAAGAAAACAGCCGGAGAGTGAAAGTAGCAGCTGTTTAACAGCTCCCCACAAGTCTCCAAGAGCTCGCGGGCAGAGAGTGGAGCCTCGCGCCTGGCAAAGGCGACAGGAGCATTTAAAGTGTTCGAGTGGAATTGCCCAAGCTGGAGCTTGGCCAAGGCGTGGGGCTAATGCCATGGCGTCTGCAAAAAGCTCAGTTCTCGACGGCATTCATTTATGATTCACCAGGCAAGCCACCATGTCAGCTGCAGCACAACGCAGCGAGTAGGTCTGCTTGTTGTGACCCTAACCAGCACCACCACCCTGACTGCTCCGGCATCTGCCCAGCCACCCGGAGGCACATGATGAGGGAAGAGCAATCCCAGCCACCTAGGTGCCACTCTGCAGCTGGAGACAGGCTGTCATCCCCAATCTCACCCAGCTCAGAGAAGGCAAAGCAGAAGAACTGGCCATACAGCATCAAGCCACGAACTTGGTAGCCACCAGGCTACACACCTCTCGGGACAAACAACAAAGCCACCACAAGCTGCTATGGGACTCTTCGGGCCTTACCCAGCCTCCAGCAGCTGAGATGGATTGGGGTTCTTGCCCCCTTCCCGGGCTTTTTTTGCAGCTTTTCAGCTGATCAGCCCATGTGCTGATCATGGGCTCTGCAGGGCAAGGCAAGAGGGCAGCCAGCCTTGCTTCATGCACTTAGTTGTGACATTTGGGGATTTGTTTAGAAGATCAAGTTATATGAGGGGTGCCAGGCAAGGCTGCCAGCCAAAGCCAGGCTTTAGAACATTACGGAGCAATTACTAAAGTATTTCTTAAATCCTGAGGGATAAAAGGCAGCTCGAGAGGTCCACAAACCTGTACCCCCACCCCCTCTCAGTGAGGATGAAGCATACCTGAAGATCCAGGTCAGATGAGCTGCAGCACTTGCACATCGTCCCCCTCTGCCCTGGAGGCGGCTCAGCCAGCTCCTCATGAAACCTGCCCCTGTGCCACTAGACCTGCTGCAGAGGAACTTCTTCCCCAGTATCTCTGCTAAGGCTCCCTTACTTCTCATCTATGGGGAGGAAGGTAGGAAAGGCCGAAAATCCTTTTGTACCAGGACAGACCTGAGATACGTGCAAGTGTTAACAGATGTGAAAGCTTCCCTTTCTCTTCTCTGAAAGGAATCCAGTCCCTCTGGCTGTCCTTTACAGGTCACACTCTCCAAACACCTCCTGAAGTTTCTTCTAAACGGTGGCTCCTTTCTGGTGCATGGCATCCAAAACCATACTCAGACAAGGCCACCCCACCTCCTGCATCGTGCACGCAAGCACCCTGCTGATCTGGGACATCGAGCATAGCCTGCGGTACTTGGTTTTACTGAGTTAACTTTCACAGCTCCAACCCTCCTGCATTCAGACAAGCCCTTGTAGCACAGCATACATGCTCTGATGGTGTGACACAAGTACATCCAAGTCACTAATGGAAACACTGCCCATACCAAAGCCCAAGCAAACCTCAGCAGTGTCTCAACGCGTCTGCTCCCAGTCTGACAGCAAGCTGCTGCCAGCTGCAGGCCATGGTAAGGTGGGTGCCCACCTGCTGGATCACAGGGCCCCCTCAGTTTCACCCAGCCTCACCTCCCCACTTTGCTTCTGAAAGTGACACGGGAAATCCACCAGTTCCCCCTGAAATGTGCCACACTTGCTGCCTTCCCCGCCTGACCGGTGACCCGCACCAGGAAACACTGGAGGCCAGGCTGAGAGGGTTTATTTTGGAGACATGGGGTCTCTCTGCACCCTCAGTTGCCCACAGCCTGCTCAGCTGACACCTCCTGGTACTGGAATTACCCGGGGAAGCCTGATTCCCCTGGACTCTCCCTCCCTCTTTTCAGAGAAGGGAACCACAGCTCAGCCATGAGGTTGCCGTAAGGTTAAGGGGATGAGCTGGCAAACTGGGGAAAGTCCCCCTCCCCCAGACTCATGCCAAGCAGGCACGGCTGGGAGGAGGCTCTGCGAGGCGGTGGCGGTGGCAG